CCACTGCTGCCGCGGGGGAGGATGGGAGTGAAATGCACACAGCCGGAAAGTCACCATTTGGCGGCACCAGGTGCATTCAGGTCACTGTGCAGCCATCGCCACCGTCCAGCTCCGGAAATTTTGTGTGTGTTTGTTTGTTTCATAATATTGGAAACTGAACCCGGGGAGCTCTGTGCCACTCTAACCTTTTTTATTTTTTATTGTGAAACAGGGTCTCGCTAAGTTGCTGAGGCTGGCCTTGAACTTGCAATCTTGCCTCAGCCTCCCTAGATGCTGGAATTACAGGTGTGGACCACAGTGCCCAGCTTCCAGAAACTTCTTATGCCCCTGCACAGAGACTTGCCCATTACAATAGTGACTCTCCATCGCACACTCCCCCAGCCCCTGGCAGCCACCCTCCTCTCTATGAATTGGACTGTTCTGGGGACCTCGGATAGTGGAATCACCACATTTGTCTTTCTGTGACTGCTGTGGGTGACTTAGCCTAATGTCCTCAAGGTTCATCCAGTGTGGCTGTGTCCATTCATCACTAGAGGTTCTGGAGCACAGTGTCACGGTGTGACCGAGTAAGAGACGAGGCCTGGGCTGACGGGTGACTGAGGAGCCAGCAAAGCACCCCGCTCTGTCTGAGTTTCCTGCGCAGATCTGCCCTTACCCCCTTACCTCTCACCCTGACCCTGAGGGGAGCCCGTTCTCCTCCAGCAGAGATTGCTGGCTGGGCTAAGGAACAATCTCTGTTGGCTTCCTGGAGGAGGCAGCCTCCCACCAGATTGGAGAGGGACTGGGAGGGCTGTGCAGAGGGAGGAGGGAGATTGGGGGATGCAGCAGAGGGTCTAGGGTGGGGAATCTGGGTTTAGCGATGAGGGAGTTGAGGAAACCTAGGCTGCCCCTGTAAATGGACAAGCCTCAGCCTGAAGGAGCCCCTGGGAGGTGGAGCAAGGGTCCCAAAGGAGGCTGGAGAGCAGAACGAGACTAGGGGGTGAAAGGCTCCGGGCCAGTGAGATGCAGGTGCTGCGTCCGTTGCGTGTTCCCATGAGGCAACTGGAAGCACCATAGGGGAGCTGAGGACAAAGAAGCCATCTCTCCAAAGATCTTTCTGGAGGTGTTGAGAGTGTGGAGTGAGAAGGTGGGGGAGGGAGTGCCATGTATAGAGTCCTACTATGCACCAGGAAGGAGGCAGAGGTCACCTTATGTTGTTCCTTCAACGCCCCTCTCTTTCTGCCTCTTTTCAGGTAAAGAAACAGGCTCAAAGAGGCAAAGAGGCTTGCCCAGGGCACACAGCTATGAAGGAGGGGGACAGGATTCCAGCACATCCTGAAGGCAAAGCCCTCACTCTTTGTGTGGGAGGAAGGCTGGAGTTTGGGGGTGCTGTGGGGGCCTGGAGTTAGAAGTTGGACCAGGCCTTCCGGTCATCTCCAACCCTGCCTAGAAGCCAAGCTCTGGCTCAGGCCAGGCTCACAGAGGCAGGGCCGACAGCCGATGTCCCCAGTGCTGCCCAGGTTAATGCGTGCATCGCTCCCCCAACCAAGAGCAGAGAGGAAGAAGGTGCCACACTCAGTCTCGGCTCTTCTTCCTGCGGAACCCTAATTTGTGGACTCGGGTTTTAATTGTCTTCCCTGAGAGCCTGGCCCAGCTTAGGCCCTGGGGCTGGAGAACTCATTTCCCTCTTTGCCCACATCTATAATTATTCCAGGCACCTGGGGATGGCTGCGGAGGCACCTCGGGTGGAGGCAGCCAAAGAGGAGAGATGGCTCCTTTGTCCCCAGCTCCCCTATGGTGCTGATGTGGGGGCGGGGATCCTAGAGGCTGCTGGGAAGGAATGGGGTGAGGACAGGCGAGGAGGCCGCCTGAGGATGATCTAGAGGTGCAGATGTCTTTGACTCACTTTGTAGTGGCCTTGAGCAAGTCACAACCTCTCTGAGCCTCCACTAGTCCATCTGAAACATGAGGAAAATGAGTCATCACCCCATGGCACCATGAAAAGATATATGCAAAGAGCTTGGCACACAGCCCAATTGCAGACAGGTTTTCTTTATTTCTTCAACTTCGGAGATTGCTACTACTCTATCATTGGATCACCATGGATTACCCACCAGGTTCTGGTGCTGAGGTCCTCAGAGTTAAGGGAGGGAGGAAACTCTTGCTCACACTCTGTGGAGGTGAGAGGAACTGAGCCCCCGGTCACTGGCAGTGTGCAAAGGGAGGCAGAAGGGTGGAGCCTGATGGCTGAACTTTACCTGACAATTCAGACCAAAGCCTGAGCTGCTGACAGGTCCACGGGTCCTGGTCACAACTGCTATCAGAGCTGGGTTTCAAGTGCAGCTCTACGTGAGCTTGGAAAAGAGCTTCACCTTCCTCATCTGTTAAATGGGAATGCACTGGAGTATTTGTGACAGTACCTGCATAGTGCCAGGCATGCAGTAGGTGCTCAATAATGAAGTCTTTGCTTGAGTCCTTCCTGCCTCTGGCCATCTTCCTTTCTGGCCTGTACTGTCAGGGTGCATGGGGCTTCAAGGCCTGACTTACAGGCCCCTCCTCTCTGAAGCCTTCCCAGGTCCCCTATCCTCAAATACAAGTGATCTCTCCCCTTCCCGGTTCCCAAGTGCTGCCTGCCCCTAGGACGCACCTCACATTCTACTGGATGCCAGAGCCAAGGGCTCACAGCTGCAGGACCTCCAAGCTTCAGAGGGAAAGACACAACCCCCTCCTCCCACCTCATCCCCTCACCCCACCCCACCAGTTCTGTTGGCCAGACCCAGTCCACTGCGATGGTTCCCATCCAGTTCTCCCGGTGCGCCGCTGCACACATGGGCTCCTCCCTCTGGAGCCGTGTGGGGTGGGCCCAGGACAGGCCTGGGAGGCTCATGCTCTGCGCAGTCCCCAGAGCTTCAGTTTCCTTTCCTGTCCTATAGGTAGAGTGCCCATGTCACCACAAGTCAGAGTCTTGGGATCCTGAGGGGCCCTCCCCCGCTGCATCCCACCTGGCTGGGTCTGGGACCAAGGTACCTTGGAACTAGAGCTCGCTGTGGGCTCACTCACAGCAAACCCCTTTCCCTGAGGCCTTGAGGCCTGGTTCTTGGTTCTCGTTGCAAACCATCGCCCTGCTCCTTGCCCTCCCTGGGGCTGACCCAGGCAACACTCCTCAGGGAAGCCTGCCTTGATTGCCTCTGGGCTGTGAGGCCTTTGCCCTTGGGAACCAGACGCCCACCCTAGCAGGACCCTGCTCCTTAGAAAGGGCTCTGCATGCAGGAAGAACCTGAAGGCTCCAACAGAGTGTGGCCTTGGGAGCCAGGGAGGCCTCGGTTCAAATCCCAGCTCTGCTGTGTGGTGTGGGAGGGTGTCCCCTGGTGGGCCTGGCTGTCTGCTCCTAACTGTGAGGACGGGCAAAGGACGGCCCCCCAGGCTGACACAGGTCACCACATCCTGGGTCACTGCTGCACACACAGCATTACATTACTGAGATGTGCTGGGAGCGCCTAAATTGCACGGATTTCCATGGTTTAGCACAAAAAAGGAATGTAAAATGACTCACTAGTAATTTTATTCCATGTTGAAATAATAATTTCTTGATATCTTGGGTTAAATAAAATACATTATTAAAATTAATTTCACATTAAAATTTTTTTCCACCTGACTACTAGAAACTGGAATCTTCCCTGTACGTTTTGCAATATGGCTCCATTCTGAGTGCCAGGAAGTGCCTTCCTGCGTGGCCGCCCTGGGGGGCTCACGTGGGGGGCAGCTGCACTCTGCCACTCCCGGCGCTGGACTGCTCCTTGGGGGAGGGGGGCTCAGAACCCTACCTTCCCCCTGTTGTTCCCCCCACCTCCCAGCCCAGGGCTCCCCTCCTTCCTGGGACTAGAGGGGACAGAAAGGGACGGGAGCGTGACAGCCCTCCAGGACCGGGCATCTCGTATCCCTCTCTGAGCCTGGGGTACCTGACGGGCTGCAGCAGTGCAAGGGGAGGGGGCTGACAGACTTCACTTTTCCTGGGTGACCCGCACATTGCCAGGCATCTTTCCAGGGCGAGATAATCTCCCCTGAGAAGAGGCAAGCATTCTAATTACTTCTCAGGAAGACATTTGTTTGGGGAGATGGAGAGACTGAGCATATGGTGGGGAGGGGTGCTGGCCCCCCAGCAACAGCTCCGTCAGTTACCTGGTAGCATGGGGGGTCCTGGTAGATCAGGGGGTTGGTGGGGGCAGGGCTGAACCTGCAGGGGAAGGGATGAAATTGCACCCCAGCACCTGGGTGTCCCTAAAGAGGAGACCCTTCAACAAGCCTGGGCAGCTCCTCTGTGGCCCAGGCGGAGTACCCGAGGGAGCTGCCGCAGCCAGTGACAATGGGACCAAAGGCAGGAGGTGGGGATCTCCTCAGGGTGGTGGCGGAGGAGCCCTCAGAGGGGACAGCCTTGGGCTGAGCTTCCACTGAGTGCAGAGGGGCCCTGGGGAGGGCCGGCAGGGGCCAGCCCCACAAAAATGAGTGGGAGAGTGAGATTAGCTCAAGGGATAGAGGGAGCCCAGGCAGACACCCCTGGGTGTCCATGGAGACCTCTGGGCCTATCTGGGGAGTGGTGGGAGCCGCAGAGGGTCCTGAGCATGGGGGAGGCCAGGGTGGATTTGGCTTTCACCAAGATGGCACTGGCTGCTGTGCACGGGACCGGGAGTGACCCCGGAGGGGACGCGGCGGCAGCGACTGCAAGAATCAGAGTGCGCTGATGAGGCTAGAAGCCGCCTCCAACCTCCTGGCCCCATTGCTCACCGCTTCCAACGCAGCCCCTCATCCTCTGTCCGCTGCGCTGCATCCCACGGCTCCAGGACAGAGGCCCGGCTGACGGCCGGGCGTCCAGAGAGACCCCTTCCTTCCTCCCCATCTCTTGCCAGCCTTGCCCACCCAGAGCCAGGCTACAGCCGTCCGCCCACTCTTGCTTCTCTGCCTTTTCCGCCCCTGCCCCTCGCTGCTGCTCCTCAGCCCGCCACACCTCCCCTGTTTCTGCGCAGCCCTGTTCACAGAGACGCCCCACGACATGACTGCGCGGACGGGCGAGGACGTGGAGATGGCCTGCTCCTTCCGCGGCAGCGGCTCCCCCTCCTACTCGCTGGAGATCCAGTGGTGGTACGTGCGGAGCCACCGGGACTGGGCCGACAAGCAGGCGTGGGCCTCCAACCAGGTACTGGGGAGCTGGTAGGGTGGGTGGTGCTGCGGGTGGCACCCCCGCTGTTCCTCTGCGCAGCACCCGCCAGGCCCTCCCTTTGCCCGGGGTGGAGTAGGTGATGCCCAGATGGAGACTATTTTAGGAAAGGCAGGAGACGAGCGAGTGGAAACTCCTGAGGCGCCGCCCCAAGAGGGCCATCGGGAGAGCACAGAGGCCCTCCCCTCCGGAAACGGAAGCCGGAGGGACAGAAGCTGGCTCCAGGTTATGAGGCAAAGTGGGTCTCCTGGTTCACATTCCCCCACTTCTCCAGGCCACGAAGAGAGTTGTTTTGTAAATGGTTTGGCAAACGCGGGTGTCGTTGCTGAGTTCATCTTCAAGTTCATTCATGCGTGTACATACAGGCAGGCTCCCAGCACCCCCAGTCACACACGGCCTAGAGCAGATGCCCTACCACCAGCCCCGCTGCCAGCTGTTAACTCCTGCAACTCTGCTAAGGGCTGTCCCTGCAGCAGAGCCTGCTGGCTGCAAGGCAGGTGGGGCTAGGAAGCTGATGAGCAACCCACAGGGTCCCCTGGGCACCCGCAGGGTGGAGCAGGGGTAGCCCCCGCATCACTGTCCTTCCCTTTGTATCTCACTTCCCTTTGTCTCTCCTCTGCTGGGGTTTCCTGGGGTCACCTCCCAAATAAGCCCCTTGTACTTTCACCTTTGTCCTCAGGTGTGCTGTTGGGTCACCATCTAAGACACTTGCATCTGAGGCACATGGGTATCTACTCAAATGGATGTGCAAATATGTGCATCCGCATGTGAACACACACGTGCACACCTTCACCTGCACACAGTAGCGAGCTACACATTCCCTCAGGCTCTTGAAAGAGCTGCTAACATATGCACAAGGACATGTCACACTCTGTTCTGCTCCTGGGGCATCAAGACCCCAGTGCATCAGCCTGCTACACATAGACGAAAAAGACCTTGGCCAGGGAAAGCCCCTAGGAAAGGAGGTGCGGATACCTGCAGGTGGAAGCCCCCGGGCCAGCTTGTGGGGACTCACACAGCAGCATCTGCTACAAATGCACACTCGCAGATAGGTGCAGGGCACACACTCCAGCTGACTGCTGAGCAGTTGCTGCCTCTTTGGCCTAGTTGCACATACCCCCTATTGTTACCCAGTGCTCTCATGGTCCCAGATGCCTAGCACGGGCAGTCAGTTTCACAGGTGCCACCTTCATCTTTTGTCTGACCCCCTCCCCCATACCCTGAGCAGGCACAGAGCTGAGGGACCTCAACCCCAGACCATGCAGCTTCCAAGCATCTTCTGCTATAGCTGGAATCTTTTTTAAAAATGGTTTTTAATTTGGTATTAACACGTTGTAATTGTACATGTTAATGAGGTCAGTGTGATATTTCCATACATGCGCACAGCATGCACTGATCAAATTCAACCTCCCTTTCTCCACAGTCTGAACTGTCCCCCGTGTGCCATCCCGCGGTGTGTCTCCCCCATCTCCACCCCGTGTTAACGCCTTGTCTCTGCTCTCTCTGCCCCTCCCCCTCCTACAGCTAAAAGCATCTCAGCAGGAAGACGCAGGGAAGGACGCCACCAAAATAAGCGTGAGTGTTGATAATGACTTCTCACAAAGCTTCTAACAGAGGATGTGGCTGTACCTTTAAAAAACATTTTGGGGGGTCCATTTCAGCAAGGGAGCTTGGGCAAGAAGATGGAGAAGAAAAAGCGGAAGAGGAAAAATAGCCCTGCTCTGTGTTTTAAAAGCTAGAGATTTTTCAAGTTCATTGAATGACAGACACAAAAAATGACAAGAGGAGAGAAGATGCATTCTCTCGTGTCGGGCCAAGGCTGTGCACACTTGATGCTTCCTGCCTGTCTCAGCAGCATTTTTATTTGAGGAAACAACAAAGTCTAATGAGACTGAGTGGGCTTTTTTCTCCTCATCATGTCTGGCAGTGACAGTAGCTCATGATCCCTGAATTCCTGAGTCCCTTGGGTGATCTAGCTTCCGGGAATGGGGACTCTAGGACTGGCCAGACTTCTTATGCATTGGCTCGTTTTAATATAGTCACACTCGGGGCTGGGGATTTAGCTCAGCGGCACAGCGCCTGCCAGGCAAGCGCAAGGTCATGAGTTCAATTCCTGGTACGGGGGGGGGGGGGAGCCAAAAACAAAAACAAAAACAAAAACAAACAAATAATATAGTCACACTCTATAGGAAAGGGCAGTTATTCACCCATTTTATAGGTGAGGATAATCAAGGCTGGGAAGGGAGCCAAAGGCCTGCTGGGAGGTCACTCCAAGGTGATTGGTGTCCCGGGCTATGCTGGGGCCCAGTGAGGTCAGGGGCCGAAGAGGTGACCTTTCTACGTTCACTCCTTTCTGAGAGGTCTCCCAGAACTGCCCTCGGAGCAGCGGGGAGCTCAGGACCCCAAGGTCAACTAGACGCAGATGCACAGGGAAGCTGCCCTCCCAAACCAAAGGTCACAGCCTAGAATGTGGACACTAGGAGGCAAGGGGTACAGGGTTGTGTCTGGGACTGGAGGTGGGAGTGTGGAGGCAAGGAGGCCAGGAGGAGGCTCCCGCAGCCACTTGGGCAAGAGGTGGGCAGAGGAGAGAGCAAGGACCATCAAAGTGCTGTGTGTGCCATCTGCCTGGGCCCAGCTGGCTTTGGAAACTCAGGGTGCTGGCGGTGCCACCTGCCCTCCCACCCTGCCCTCCCTTTGCTGAGGGCACAGCCGTGTCTAACACCCCATTGCTTCCCCAAACACCCATCAGCGGGGCAGGTGGGGGTCTGCACGTATATTAACACATCCCATTCATCGAAAGCCTCTCTCCTTTGATTTGTTTTGGGTTTCAGGCAAGGCTCAGGCAAAGGAGAGAATAACCTAATTGATTTAGAGGATTATAATTCCAGGCTGCTGGGCCCAACATGAGGGGAACGGGACCACATAAATGAATTAAACAAAATAAATGTGCCCCATGTGAGTGTGGAATCGCCCCCAGCCCCACTCCCCAGCCATTGCTGCTCCAGCAGCAGCTCTTCAGGTCTGCTGAGGAAATGCACAAGCCGGCCTAGGCCTGGTCCGCACAAACCTCATCCTTAAACACGCAGAGGCCCAGCCCGCAATACCTGTAACAGGCGCACACCCTCGGTTCTTGAAGTCTGAAAGGAGGGCTCTGACTTCTCCTTGGCCTTCAAGGCTCTGCAGATTGCTCTCCCTCTCCTTGGGCTCATCCCAACTGCAACCCTGCCCCAACTCTGTACCCTTCTACCTTCCCATCCCCTCCCAGTGCCAGGCCTCTGCCCAGAAAGCTGCTTCTCTCTGTCCCTTCAGAAAGGGAGCTGGGGCGCCCCCAGCCCAGCCCAGTGACAGTGGCACTTCTTCCTTTCCCCCATGGCTGTACCTCCACCTGTCTGCCTCCCCCAGAGGCCCCAGGACTGTGCCTGCCTGAGGCACTGTTACTCCAGGGCCGGGGACAGGGCCTGACACAGTCAGTGCCCAGTACTGCTCAGTGACTCTCACACGCCTGCATCCAGGCCAGCGTGTATGGAAGTGGATTTCTGTGCACGGACCTACCGCTGGGACACAGATCCTGCTTCTGTATGTGTACGTGTAGGGTGACGTGAGTGAGTGAAGGTGCTTATGTGGGGACTACAGCGACATTATCTTTATCAGGCATCTGAGCCAGGCAGGGAGCCAGGACTGATAGTCCTATGTCTTCTAAAAATACCAACATGGACGGAGCATCTCCTGATGCTTAACTCTTGGGACATAATTTGGTCTCTTGAGAAAAGTTGCATGCCCTGAATGTGGCAGTCCACAGTTGGGTGGCGTCTCAGATCCGGTGTAGTTTCAGGTTCTGGGGAGAAAGTGCCACCAGCTTAGGAGTCTGTCCCCAGGAGGGCCTCAGGACTGTCTGGGTCACCGTCTTAACCGTGACAAGGCCCAGAGTCTGAGACGCCCCTGTACTGAGAGCCAGGTGCCACTGTGAGGACATGGTGGGGCCAGAACTTAATGTCCCAAGAGTTGAGTTCTGGTTCCAGCTAGGCCACCTCCCTGGATCTCCAGTTCCCATATAAGCTCTTGTCTAGAGGATATAAGAAACACTTTGGAAACTGTAAAGCGCATGGATTTGGCTCTGTGAATGTCAGTGGTTGTTTACTTGTTAACATGACACTGAGAACCATAAGACTCCTTTTCCTATCACGGAGCAAGAAACGGGCTGGGGAATGGAAAGAGCTCAGAATCTGGTGGCAGTGAGATCATTTCTACGGGAGGACTGGCATCTGTGTAATCATATAGTAGGACCACAGCCACTGAGGTTCACTGGGTGCTTAGCACCGGTCAGAGTCATGCTGGGCACTCTGCATGCATCATCTCAGTGAACCTGGGTCCTGGGGAGGGGTCCTTGGTCTAGCAGTGTCCCCCCAGTGGCCTGCATGGGCCGTGGGTCCCACTGACAGGAAGGGACCTGTGCTGTGGTGCAGGAAACACTTCTGCCTGCTGGCTGTTGTCACACTGTGCAAGTTTTCCCCTTGATCTCACTAAAGCCCTGTGTACTAGGGTTTAAGTTAAAGACCGCAGCTGCGACCACCAACATGGAGCAGAAGGGCTGCTGGCCTCTGAGAGCCAACACTGCCGAGAGGGCTTCCTGGGGGGTGGGGAGAGGGGGCCCCGTGGTCCCATCAGCCTGTCTGGAAAGGTGTCCAGTGGGGGCATTTTGGTAGGCTCGGTCTGGTTGTCATGGAAAAACAGACAGAAGGGGTCTCGGTGACTCTGGGGAGACCCAAAGGAAGCTGGGGTGGCTACCCGGGTGTGAGGAGCCAGGACCTGGCCTTGGTCAGTGCAGGGCGTTGGGAAGGGAAGGGGCCCGGAGACATTCAGAGGGAAGACCGGGATTCAGAGGCAGACTATGCACGGCAGAGGATGATGACAAGCGAGGTCTGTCTGGGCCTGGGTTTGGGGGGTGCTGAATTGGACCCTGAACATGCTGAGGGGCTGGGGAAGCAGCCAGTGGAGCTCAGAGCAGGGCCTGGCCTGGGATAGGGAGCCACTGACCCTGTCCTACCCTACACCTCCCGGGGGCCACCACTTCAGCTAGGAGCGACATGTGGGCAAGGGCTGGCATCATGGGCACCAGCTGGCACTGCCCTCCCTCCTGGCACGGAGACAGGAGGAGCTGGCCCAGGGCTGTTCCTGCCACACCCGAAGTGCCAGGGCCATGGGGTGAGCAGGAAGGAGGCTGGGCTTGGTCGTGGCGAGGACTCTTTCAGCATAATTAGGTGCTTAATGGCACTGCTAAGGCCTGTCGATGCCTGTGCCGAGGTGATTATGATTTACAACCAAGCCACCATGTGGGGGTCTCCCTGCTTGCGGCCTCTGTAGGCCGCTGGGCCAAAAGTTTCTGGACAATTTGTGAGCAATGAGACCCCGCAGGCTGTGCCCCCCACCCCCAAAGCCAGAGTGCCTGGTCCTGCAATGGCACAGGCCTCTGATGAGGTTTGGGGCTAGGCTCCCCCAGGACCTGGAGTGCTGGGGGCCTAGGGAGGAAAGATGGGAAGACAGACCCATTCTGTTCATGGAATGCCCCCGGAGGTGTGGGTAAGGCCGGTCACTACGGCCAGCGGGGGCCTTTGGGAAGAACACTTCACTTCTCCCAGCCTCAGTTTTCTGTCCCATACAATAGGTGTCCTGCCACTGCCCACATCATAGGGTGACTGTGAGGTCTGAAGGTTGGTGCAGCTTCGGCTCAGCCCTGCACAGTGACTACTGCCGCATAGACCTTGGCTGTCAGCGCTATGGTTACCGTTCCTGTTGTTTCAACCCTTTGCCTCCTGCAGAAGGTGCTCAGAGCTCCCGGGGCTGAGTCCTCACCCTTCCTCTGGGTTCTGCATTAGACGGGTGACTGTGCAGGCCTCGCTGGGTCTGGCTTGTTCATAGCCCGGTCTCCAGTGCCCAGCTCAGAGCAGGTGCTTGCTAAATGTTTGTTGAATGAGTAAATGAATGTGACCCAAGAAATCCAAGACCAGGGTGCGGGGGAACTTGTCAAGGTCAGAGCCCTGTGCTACAGTGCCCCCCTACATCCGGCCAGTCCCCCTTGCCTCCTGGAGGGGCTGGCACTTCTCAAGGCCGCAGCTGTGTGTGGGCAGAGAGCATGGGAGGGCACCCGGGGCTGTTGCAGGCCGGTCGGCGCCGAAGGGCGGTGGAGGGCGGGCCTGCGGGTGCTCCCCCCCTCGAGCCGCTCCCAGCGCTTCGCATTATTACTCCATTAGCGCCTCGTAGGGTTGACAAATGAAGGATAATTAATATCCGTGAGGGAAGCAGATGTTGAGGTAATTCGCTCCCGCTGCGCATTTGCGATAGCATCTCCTCCCCGCCCGCCGAGAGCGTGGCAGGACCACGGGGCCCTCAGGGCCCTCCGTCGGGTGGAGGGGTCCGCAGGGCACCCTGAGCTCCAGCTGGCCCCGGCACCAGGGACAGGCACCTGCTCCTCGGTCCCCACGCAGAACAGGCAACTGGAAGAGGGGTCCTTGCTCACCGTGGGGCGTTCTGCTTGGGACCCACCTTGGCACCCCTTGCTACCCCCCGGCTTCGTGAGGCGTGGTGACTCCAGCCTGAGCACCATGGCCTGGCTCCCTGCTGCTGCCACTGGCCCTGGCCCCTGCTGGAGTTTGAGGAGGCCCTGTGGCCCTGCTGGCCCCCGGGACCCGTGTAACTTGTCACCCCGTTTGGAGGTTGAGAGTTCATGGGGTCCAGCCTGGGCCCGTGTTCCGCTCTGCTACACACTGACGCGGGGCTCTGGGGACAGGCTCTTCCGCGGAGGAGTCTCAGGGACGCTGTGTTGTATGACAGCAGCCAGGCACAGCAAGAGTCTCCCACAAAAGCTCCAGAACGGGGAAGGCAGGCCCACGGCAGTGACGGAAGTGTGCGTCGTGGTCAGCAAGGGACACAGGTTGTGCTGTCCAAGGCTGCACTGCCCTGCTCCTTGCCCTGGACGGTAGTTACACAGACACACAGTAAACGCAACTGCATCAAGCTCTGTGTACTTTATTGTATACAAATTAATCTTCAGTTTTAAAGAACCAAATGTAAAACCCAATGAAACAAACCAATAGAAGGCCAAAGCTTTACAAAGGCAAGAGAACAAATGCTGCGGCTCCATCCACACCACTGGCACAAAGAGCGGTGCACATCCGGGTATCTCTGTAATCAGCCTTCACGTTAAAGCAGCCCGGGCCACGCCCGCCTCAGGGGCCCCAGCGCACACAGTGCTAGGAGGCTGCTTCCCCGCTGTCTCTTCACTCTTCACACAGAGGCACGAAGCCGGGCTGGAGACCTGTCCGTCTGTTTCCACAGAGGGCATCCTGCCCTAGGAGTTCTTAAAAAACATTTTATTACTACGTTTGCAGAATGTGGCGATCACCTTCCCCATGGGAAGTTGGTACCTGTACACAGCACATCTGCATTCGCTTTTCATTTCTTTCTCCTCCCTCCATCTCTTGGTCTCCTGCCCTTTCACAAAAGATCTCACTATTTCCTATTATCCATCTTTTATTTTGCTCTTTACTTATAACTTAGGTTCCTCAAAAAGGAGAAACCATGTGCTATTTAAACTTGTGTGTCTGATTTACTTCGCTTAATATTGTGGTCTCAAGAGGCATCCGTTTTCCTACCAATGAGCGGTGCTTGTCCTTCATGGCAGAGCAGTGCTCCACTGTGTTGCAGAGACCGTTCCCTTCTGTGTGCGGTGAGCTCCGGCGTGTGTGGTACAGCTCATGCTTCTTAACGGCTGTGCAGAATTTCACCGGATGAACCCCCCACAGCTTACTTACCCATTCCCTTCACGAATAGTGGAACTGCTTCTACTTTGTTGTTTTGCCTTTGTTGTGACACTGCAGCAAACCTTGGCGGGGCCTTGTGCGCGCTTGGGCGTGTGTGGGTGGGGGCGAGAGCTGGGGCGGGTCTCAGCTTCCTGATGGGAACCCACCTCCCCACCGCCCCGCAGGACAGGTCACAGTCTCTCTGTCGCCCCCAGGTGGTCAAGGTGGTGGGCAGCAACATCTCCCACAAGCTCAGGCTGTCGCGGGTGAAGCCCACGGACGAAGGCACCTATGAGTGTCGTGTCATCGACTTCAGCGACGGCAAGGCCCGGCACCACAAGGTCAAGGCGTACCTGCGGGTGCAGCCGGGCGAGAACTCCGTCCTGCACCTGCCCGAGGCGCCTCCGGCCGCCCCCGCCCCGCCCCCGCCCAAGCCGGGCAAGGAGCTGCGCAAGCGCTCGGTGGACCCGGAGGCCTGCAGCCTGTAGCTGCGCTGCGGGAGCTCGAGCCGCACCGAGGACGGACTGCTTGCGGCCGCCGCCTCCTCCGGGCTGCCTGTGGCTGCCGTCACGCCGGCCCTCTGCCCACCACCCCCGCTCAGCATGCAAGCCCACCCGCCCATCCCCCCTTCAGCCCCTCGCGGTGACCCGGCTCGGAGAAGGTGGCCCTGGGCTCCAAGGGACGACTGCCCTGCCCCGATGTTGGGGCGGGGACCATGCCGGGGGCCTGGGCTGCCCGGTTTCTGCCACCAGCTTCTGTGGAGTCCCTTGTTTTGCTTTGCTTGCTTGTCCCCATCCTGTCCTGAGCCGGGCCTCCCAGCCTTCCCCTCACTTGGACCCGAGGCTGCGGACCGTGATCCCTCCCTAGTTTTGGACTTGAATCCTCTGAGCAGAACTAGAGCCTCTCACCCTCCACCGGAAGAAATGGGGCACAGAGCCCCCAGGAGGGCCTTTCTGTGGCAGTGGCCCTGTAGCAGGATCGCTCACCAGGGCCTGAGAGAAGAATGAGGTGCTGTGTGACCTCCTGGTGGGCCCTTCCTGTCCAGCCTCTTTATATCTAAACAGCGGGTCTGACCCTCCAGGGAGTCCGGCGCCAGAATCTGCCAATCCACAGCGGTCAGAGGGAGGCTTCCCCTCGGTCCCAGCCCGCACAGGGCCGTGCACCAGCAGGACCCCTTCAGGGTCCTTGGGGCTCGCCCAGGAGCTCCCTCTGCCAGCCTTGATGTCATAGTCCCCTCTTCGGCTGCAAGTCCACCCAAGGCCTGGGGCTGTTGGGAGCCAAGGGCCCCCCTTTACCAATTCCCTCACCACTCCTGATCAGGGGCACCCCCACCCCTGGTGATGTGTAAATATTTCTATTGGGCCCCTCCTCACCCCCAGAACTGGCTCTCTAGCCGCCGGTGAGCGAAGGATCCAGTTGCTGGGAGAGGTGGAGGGCTTTGCCTGGGGGTGAGTGGGTAGCCCTGTATACATAATCCAATCTGTGACTACCAGCCAACCCGAATAAAGCGGTTTAAAACAAGTCCCAGACTGTGTCTTTCTGGGGCATTTATCTGGAAACGCTGCTGCTGGGCCCAGGGAGTCAGGGAGGCCTTAGCTGGCCCACTCCAGTGCGGGCACAGACTGCAGCTCCTCTCTGCCGCCCAGCAAGCAGGGGCTGGTGTCTCCACAGAGCCTGGGTGCCGGCGGGGCTGGGGAGAGGGCAGGAAAACCAATCTTTGTCCAGCTCCAGCCAATTACCGAGCACTCGAATTATTCCTTGATTCTGAGATAATCACACACACACAGAAGAGGGCATAGAGCATGTTTATGTAGTCTTATGAGTGCTTATATCAAGCAAACACATAGCCACCAGCTACCAAACGTGCCACCCTGGAACGGACCACCACCCCAGCTGAGTGTGTCTCCCCCACATTTCCCCGCCCCTCCCTCTCAGAGACGACCACAGTACTGACATTTAAGACAATATCCTTGATATTCTTTTTATAGTCTCCATACCCACATGTATGTTACTTTAAACAAAGTATCTGAGTTTTGTCTTTTTTGAACCATATGTGCATGGAATCAGACTGTTTTTTTTCTTTTTTATTCCCCCTCCCAGTACTAGGGATTGAATCAGAGCCTTTACATTGCACTACATCCCTAAACTCTTTTATTTTTTATTTTGAGACAGAGTCTCACTAAGTTGTCCAGTCTGGGCTCAAACTTGTGATCCTTCTGCCTCAGCCTTTTAGAGAGCTGGGATTACAGGTGTGCACTACCATGCCCACCTTAGACTATTTTTCATGCAACATAATACTTTTGAGAGTCATCCATGCTGTTACATGCACCTATAATTTCATGTTTACTCCTGTATAATATTCCACCATGTGACTATCCCACAGTTCATCAACTTAGCTCCTCTGCTGTTGGCAGAAACCTGGGATGCACTGTTTCCTGGGTGCTCTTGCCCGCAGCCGTGCTGTGAACATCCTCATCCCTGTCTCTGGTACATGTGAACATGAGCTTCTAGCGGTGGTTTCCAGGGCAGAGGTACAGGTGCTTTAGTGCCTCATGTTCCCCTAAGAGGGATCACTGGCTGCCTGCTACAGCTGAGGAAACAGGCTCAGGGAGGCTGAAGAGTTTGCCAAGGCCACATGGATGTTAAACTCAGACCTTCCCTGGCCCAAAGCCTGTTTGCCTTGTTTTGGGCAAGTTGGACCCTCTGTGTCCCCTCCCCCTCCATGCCTGGGCTCTGGACTCCCCTTGGTTCATCATGGCTGAGGATTCCACCTGCCACGGTGCTGCTGAGACTCTGCTTGAGCCAGATGCTCCGTCTTCTGTGCACCGGCAGAAGCCACTGGCATCGCTGTTCGGGGCCTGGGACCTGGTGCAGGGATGGTTCTGACAGCGCGGCTTCCCGGCCCTGTGCACCACCACCACAGCCTAATGCAGGCATTGCACCCTCAGTTTTCAGACGAGGACACTGAGGTCAGAGAAGGGTGGGTGGAGGACGGATAATAGATGAATGGAGATTTAAATAAGCCAGGCTGTGAAGCAGGCAGGGCCCAGACCTGTTGCAGAGTTCAGGTAGTGCAGGGTTGCCTGGTCTGACCGTGGTCCTTGCAGGCCAGCGGCAGCCTTTATTCCAAGCATATGTTCCCTTCCAGAAATGTCAAAGTGCAACATAGGCCCTGGACAGCTCAAGTCCCTCTAAGAAGGCCTGGAAGAACCAAGCTCATGCTAAAGTGATACACTGCTCAGCATCCTGCACACTGTCGTGGTTTGAGTTTTTTTGCAAGGGGAACAATAGAATATAGGACACATATTTTATAATATTGTTTATAATAGTCACCCAAAGAATCATATACTAGAGAGTACAAGAAATCTGTCCATACACTAAACACCAAAGAATTTTGACCAGCTGAGGGCCTGGATCCTACGATAATGTCCTGCATGAGTCCAGCTGAAGACCTAGAGCTCATTACAATGCCTCCCATGAATCCAATTGGAGGCCTAGACCCCATGACAATGTCTCATGAAGACCTGTTTCACGGATCTGCGACGGGAAGGCCCAAAGGTCAGTGGTGGAATTTACAATGTCTGTGCCAGTGGGATGAAGGATCTGTGCTAGCAGGCTGAGGGATCTGCACTGGAGCCAGGAAAGGATGCTCAAAGTAAGAACCAGAGCTCCCCCCAAAAAGTACCACAGCCATCCTCAGCAACAATGAGGTCCCGAGCTCCTATGTTGATCAGGACAGCTGAGTTCCCATCAAGAAAGCCAACATGACAAGCTTCTCCAGGAGACTGAGCAGTGCACCATCTCCCCGCCCTGGAGCCAGGAAGCGATGCTCAGAGGACCAGAGCTCCCTCAAAGTGAACCAAAACCATTCTCAGCAACAACAAGGTCCCGAGCTCCTTGGAGGATGAAAACAGCCAAGTTCATCAGGAAATCCAACACGACAAGCTCCTCCAAGAAAACCAGCAGCTCCTTACAGCTTCTCTCAGCTTCCAACAGGCTTCCAACAGCTTCTACCAGCTCCCAACAGCCATACTTCTCCAGTTCTGCCTCTTATGCTGCTGGCAACAGTCCCCAGGTGGGCCTCCCACACCCAGCACCACGCTTACTCAGTTCAGCTGAGGGTTACAAGTTGACCACCAGTTGTCCCACCAACTGCGCGCTGTGAGTTAGTGAAAGTAGAATTCGGGGCTTCCATGAGATCTCATCTGAGCTGCCCAAGCCCTATATCTCCACTCCATTCTCCTCTTCCATAGAGGGATTGGGAAGGCAGATGGGGCAGAGGAAAGTGCCTGGCTCAGAGTCTCACTCCTGACCATCCTTGCTGCATGGCCTCAGACAGCCTCCTCTCCTTACCTTTTCTGTGTAGTGGGAATGTTCCCAGGAAACCCACACCCAAACCACTTCCCACACACTCAGGGGCTAGAATGAAAAAGAGAGATACTAAGTCCGGGCCAGCAGGGGGAGCACTGCTGAGGTTGGGAGTGTGGAGTGGTGCAGCTGCTTTGGAAAGTGGACAGGCACTTCCCTAGAATGCTGAGCAGAGCTGTGCATGACTCAGTAATTTTACTCCTGAGTATATGCCCAAGAGAACCGAAAGCATATGTCTGCACAAAACTTGGGAATGAATATTTATGGCCGCACTGCTCATAATAGTTCTAAAGTGGAAGCAACCCAAGTGTCCACAACTGATGAATGGTTAAATGAAGTATGGGCTGTCCAGACAGTGGAATATCATTTGGCAATAAAAAAGGAATGACGTGCTGATACATGCAACACCAGACACACCTTGAAAACACAGTGCCAAGTGAAAACAGGCAGACACAATAACCCACATAGCCTATAATTCTATTTCTATGAAATGCCCAAACAGGCAAATCTGTAGACAAAAACCAGATTGGTGGTTGTCTAGGCCTTAGGGAGCAGAGAAATGGGGACAGTTTCCTTTGGGGGGAGATATAAATGTTCTAAAATTGACTGTGATAATGGTTGCAAAACTGTGGGAACACTTTGTTTGTTTTAAGACAGGGTCTCACCATCTAGTTCCAGCTGGCTTGGAACTCACTATGTAGCAGCCTAGACTGGCCTGGAACTCGTGGTGGTCCTCCTGCCTCGGCTTTCTGAGTGCTGGGATTACAGGTGTGTACCACCACACCTGGCCTGTGTGAATGTATTAAAAGCCATGGAATATATATTCTAATTGGGTGAGTTGCATGGTATGTAAACTGTATATCAATAAAGCTTAAAAAAAACCCCGATACTCCTAATCATAGCACCCACATGCCTGCACCAGGCACCTGGGAAATTCTGACTGCTATTAATATTGCTGTAGTTTGTACATGAAAGCCAGAACCAAGTTGTGCTTGGCCTCCAGGCACTGCCGGTGGTGACGGGGGGTGAAATGACAGCAGAGGAGGGTGACTCCAGGGAGGGAAGCGCCTATGGGCGGTACGCAGGTGCCCCTCTGCATAACTGCAAACCACTTTTCTCTTTATGCTCCACTCTAAGAACAACTTGGGAGCCAGGTATGGTGGTGTGAGCCTGTAGTCCCAACTATGCAGGTAGCTGAGGCAGGAGGATTGCCTGAATCCAGGAATTCAAGGCCAACCCGAGTAACACAGTGGTCCCCACTGAAAAACCAAAACTAAAACAACAAAAAAACATCAAAATCCAACCCAGGATAGGGGATACTTGTTATAAATTCAGATATCTAGAGTCCCTCTTGGCCTTCAGACTCCCATGAGCCAGCATCTATATTTAGGTTAACAATATATCTCAGTTTTAATGGCTGTAGAATAGTCCATTACAGAGACAAGTCAGAATGTACTTAGCCAGTCCCGAAATGATGAACATTTGGGTTGTTTCCAACTGTGTGCTCTTATAAACAACACTGCAGCGAATTTCCTAGATTATAAATCTGTGCATGCATATGCAAATGTGTTTGTAAGATAGATATCTGGAGGTTAGAATTGTTGGGTCAAAGAGTTTGTGCATTTTTAATACTGTAAATGACTTCGCATAGAAGGGGGAGCACTTTGCTCTCCTACAAGCTCTGTGTGAGAACGTGCACCCTCTCACATCCTTACCTCAGCAACCCGAATCAAACACACCGATCGTGGGCACAGCGGGTTGATCTTGGGCAACCTATCGGGTAAGGTGGAGTTGAGCAGCTCTTTGTTTATTTCAGAACCATTTGTACTCTCTGGGATCTGACAGCTTAGAAGCTTTGCTTATTTTCCTTCCTCCCTCCCTCACTTCCATCTTCCCTCCCTTTTTTCCTTCTTTCTTTCTTTATTTTTTTGAGATAGAGTCTGGCTGTGTAGCCCAGGCTGGCCTTGAACTTGGAGCAGGTTCTGCTTCCCAAGTGCTGCGATTACAGAAGTGTGCCCCCCTGCCTGGCTTACGCCTATTTTTCTATTGGCTTATTGGTTGTCATTTATCAATTTATAACAACTGTGAGATGAATTTCAAGCCTTTTTCTTCTTTTATGTTTGTTTTGACTTTCGTTTGGTGTTTTTTTTTTAT